AAGGGACCTAACTGTGGAAAAAAGTTGCAACTTGTATTCAAGCAAAGCTTGCATTTGTGCAAGAAAAAATGATCATTAAAAATTAATCATTCCATTCATTTAGTATTTGTTCAAGGGATTTCTGTCTGGCACTTTTGCTCCTGAGCGGGAGAAATAAAAGGCACACGGCATGTCATGTAACTCTACACTGTGTACATGAGCAGTGTATTTTAGGGCCTGGCGTGTCATCTGTGCTTCCACCCCAGACTAAAGCTGACAACTTTGGGCAATATCCCCTTAAACTGCAAAAACAAAGAACATAGAACAATAGGATGAATTAAGTGTTTTGGTTAAACAGTTACTAAATTCGAGGAAATCTTTCCAGCTAGCCCACTTACGCCATGTGCAGCTCTAATTAGTCAATGGGCTGATCTAATTTGTTCAAATGCTTTTGCTGCAGGTGTCCAGTCCAAGCTGAGAAGATTGCCAAAGGCATTAGGTTAGAGAGACGGGCTTAGGAAACCAACATAAACGACTTAATGGCTTATATGCATCCAGCTTGCATACAGGTTATGAAAAGTATTGCACTGCCGTAGTTTTCGAAGAGTATCTAAATTTGCATGTTCTCGTTTGAACTGAATTGCGTGTATCCAACTTTTGCAGATGAGAGCATCTTGGACAACGCCATTTGTGGTTTGAAAGAGACCAACTTTTTCATTCAACTGCCTATGTCTGTTGTCAGAAGATGTCAGCATACTTCTTGTTAACTCCTGAAGTGTTACACTTACCCTGCAGTAGATCTTTGGGTTCATAGTGTCTGTACTCGTTTGATCACACAGAAGCAGACATCTTCAAGCACAAGCATCAATGGAGATATAACTTTTGGGATGTCTTCCTACAGCTGGATGTAGTATTTCCGCAGCACCACAAAATCAAATGTTTCAAATGCAGTGCTTAGTGCACTGTCCGGTTAATTCGAACAAGGTTTGCCGTGGGACTAATGAGGAGTTAAAGAAGAATTGACATCTTCTTTAAATCTGTGTCTTTACGCATTTGTGTGGGAATACTGTCAGGATGGAAAAAAAGGCAATTGTCAGCAGTCTCCTGATTATCCCCTCCAAAAGCCCATAATCTGGCTGAAAGTACTTAAAGAGTCAAGCAGCAAAATAAACAACATTGATTATCATCCCACTGTTCTTTTTTCCCCCATAGAGGAGCATGCCGTGAGGGAGGAGGATGGAGGCTGAGGTTGTGCCTTCCCCCATCAGCGCCATCTGCTTGGGCAAATGTTAAGGCAGGCTAAATACCCCCTGAGTCCTCTGTTCAAACCAGATTATCTGCTATTCTAAGGAGGCGGACGAGCATCTTACCATCTCCCAATCTCTTTTACAAAAGCAAATCAAGAATTCTGTGCAAGGATTACCAGGATTAAGGCGGACACAGACATGGCCCTCCTTGGGTAAAGTCTTTAAGTTGCTGCCTTGTCTTTAAGTCTGGCCTCCCTCATCTTACAAACAAATGACTGCTTCTTGCCATGACAGTGTATATCTGCATATTTTTCTGCAGCTCACATATCCTCTCCTGGAGTCATTAAAGTGCCTTGATATTTTGACTGTTGAAAATTGATTTTTACAATCAGTCATACAGCACAGCTACATATTTACAAAACTGTATATAATTTACACAACTTTGCCTGTATCCCATATTGTTGATCATTGGCTCGTATGGCTATGGGAAGTGCATTCATTTTCTCCACCGAATGAAAGACTGCCCCACGGGTTCTGAAAATTTGAATTTCACATCTCCACAGAAAGCAGGTGCAGCAGTGTCCTAGTAGCCAAAATGTAAGTCATAAAACAGAGAAACAGAGAGTTACATTATTCATTCCAATCCTGCCTTCATAGTATTGTGTGTGGGGATTATAGTTAAAAGAACATGGGTAACACTAAAGCTGAAACCATGTGATTGCTTTGAATGGCATCGAATGAGGTACAAAAGGGGGTGAGAGTGGGGATTGTGTATGTCCTAAAGAACAGACTTAAAGCTCAGTTATCCCTGCTTTCACAAACTGTAGTGACATACATACGAAATGACCATCAAGCTCCGACAAAGCCTGGCAAACCTGCTAGCCGGCAGAACTCAAAATCTCAGTGTGCTGCTGTTAATCTTCAGAGCATTTTTAATCCTACCCAACAGATCATGAGGCAAATCTCTACCTGTGACCATTTACGGGAAGACTGAGCTATATGTCGGAACCACACCAGCAAACCATATGCTCTTTTGCACACTATGAGCAACCACAGTTTTAGATCACACTTTTAACAAGGAACAAACAGTTGTACAAGCAATCGATGTTCCTCACATCCGTGCTCCACAGTCACACTTCGTTTAATCAACAGAATTGTTTTCAATGAAAACAATCTCCGGGCTGTACAGCCACACTCAGTGCCTTAGAAGGAACCACTCGGCGGGCTTCCACACTGATTTGATTGTTGAACACACAAAGGTAGCTTGTCTACCGTAGGTATGGGGGATGATTGAATTATTCAGTTCGCCAAAGGTTTGGCAGCAGTCGCATGGAGTGTAGCCTTGAGTGGAGTGCAACAGTAAAACAGTATCCTCTTGTTTCTGCACCGCTGCACAGCACATGCCTAAATAGCTCCCACCTAAACAGTCCGCATTGCTTCAGAATATCTTCACATTATAACCTGCACACGCTCGTTGTTTTCTAAATCAAACTCACACCCTCTGCTGTACAATCCTCACAATTTATTTCTCTACATCTTAAACAGTTACAATATTTACATTACCAGATTGCCTTTTTTTTCTTTTTCTTTTTGGAGAGCAGCAAAATAAAACCTTTATGTTTCAGGTGCCTTGTGTCACTACTGAAAACATATATAAAAATGTAAATCTAAGCGAGCCTAAAGCTCTTTAATCATATTTACAAGGCATGATGAGTTAGGAAAAAAAATCAGAAAGGTTTACAGAAATATCATAAAACATCCACAGTCATGCTGACACCTCTAAATGCATACTGCTTTTAAGGGATCAGCTGAGACAGCATCTAAAGCTATCACTTAGCTAAAATAATCTGGAATCTAGAATTTGTTACTCTATACTGTCTGCAGCAGATGACAATGATCTCAGAGGGGTATGCTGGTGACTTGTAAAATCAATGCCACATGAAGAAATGCTTGTTTTGCTGGCCTCTCAACAGCTACTTTCCAATGTTAGGCACATAAATAACGGATATGTTAAAGTCTCACGTTACAGGCAGCAGACTGATAAGAGCGAGGCACTGATTGGACAGACTGCATTTTCAAGGTTGAGGAAAGTCACTGGACCTGGTCTAGAGCAACAAACTTCTCCTGTGCTTTCTGATTAATCGTCAGGTTTATTGTTCTTCAGTAAGTATAAACATGCCAGCTTGATTGCGGTGGTGTTTGAAAGAGTTTACATCCAGGAACTCAAATGGCCAGAGTCTACAGGGTACAACAGGGAAACTTGAAAACGTATGTATGTGTATATAAAAAAATGTTTTCAAAAATAATTAATGAAGGCCACGTTCATGGTCTCAGCATCCCAACAGAATAAACATCTGTGTTGGGTTTCTACCACACAAGTCTCACTCATAATATGTAATCAAATTCACCAGAAACAAGTAACATTACATCCTCATAACTCATGATCAATATGTCAACAAGGAAATGGTGGAAGCACTCTCCTAACAGATAAACTTCTTATAGATTTTAAAATTGCTGGGAATGCACAAGTAACTGTAAAAACAAAACAATTTAAAAAATGAAGGGGTAAAAACAATCCACCGGGCAACAACTGCTCAGAGCTTCCTTTAAATCTTTTTCCATCACTCACTTATTTTTCTACATGTCTTCGCATTCCAAAGCAAAAAAGAAGCCATTCCTTCTAAACACTACCCTCATGCACAAATGTAAACCCATAGCATTTGGTTGATGGAGTATTTCTCTTTTTTCAAAAGTGTTTATGGCTCAGTTGAAAGTGCTTCATTGCCTAATTGTGTACAATGAGAAAAAATCTAACTTTAGTTTAGGAAGCTCAAAGTGGCCATCACACCTTATGATCCAGCTATGATCTGATTTAAAAAGAGATTGTGATGCATTTAGTAGATTGTTGCTTATCTATTAATAGAAAGCTGACATTTATGCACTCATCTACCAGATTGTTATCACGGAGTGTGCGCTTTTTTTTTTTCAAATCACCAAGGACGCTCCTCCCAAGGGAACTGATTAGCTCTTTCTCTGTTTAAAAATATGAAGTAACTTTGATAAGCAATTAAACATATTTTCTTGTCAGGCTTTGTTTTGTGCCTTTCAAGTCTGTATTTTTGGATCGAGTCTGCATAAACAATGCAAAACACAACATTTGAGTGGTGGTTTTTGCACTTTCTCACATCAATCTCTCAGATGTGTAAAGCCCTGCATTTGTGCACTACTGCGCAGAGGTATCATTATCATATGATCATTATCAGCTTTCATGGAAGGGAGACTAGAAGAATAAAAAAAAAAGATGCAATAAAATATTTTCTGCTGTTTTTGTCTGTGCACTTCAAAGGATGCACTCTCTCCAGATTTTCGCAGCATCTTATCTGGTATCTGCTCTCAATGTGTGATGCATATCTAAAACTTTTATTTTCTCCCCTACTATTTACGTGCTATAATACTGTAAAATGAACACAGAATGTATTTTTCTATTTTTTGCACGCTCTTACTATATTAATGCAGCACTTGTTGATGGTGTCCAAATATAGCCAGACATACTTCTAGAGGCCACAATCTGTTTGACCAAATGTTACGACTAACTGCATGTGAGAGATGCAACACATCATCTCAAGCATGTGCTTGCCTAGTTTTAGCCTCACTGTTAAAGCACACGCAGAGGCTACATCATGGGCGCACAGATTAACTCAGTGACGCAAGCTTATCTCAGATGCTGAAAAACAGTGAATAAGAAGAGTCGTCAAAATATGCAATACAATGCAAAAGACTTTAATAAATTTCAGAAGCGCACACATTGATAAAACAAAACATTTACAGTTTTCTCCACACTGGCAAATCAAAGTCAATTACAAAGATCATGTAAGGTGCATATTGTACTTCACATTGAATAAAAGTGAGGTTTCTGTCTCCCTTACAAGGACAAAAGGTCCCCCCATGTATATATATATATGTAATTTTTTTTCTTTTCCCCAAAGATCAGGCAAATCTAATTATTACACAGTGCTAGGATGCTATGTATATTTCATACTGTGGCTCCTACGCAGTAGTGAATACATTTGATACCATAATTACATGAACATACCTTCTTAAATAATAACAACCTGCCTCATTTAGATGCCGCACGCATAAAATCAAAAGCTTTAAAATAGACATAGCCTATACAGCCATGACGTATTAAGAATGGAGCACATACAAAATGGCTTCTGGTTCGTGCAGAAATTTAATTTGACTATATATTGTCTCTCCCTAGAAACAGCCTTTAGTCCTGTCCATCTATACATTTCCCAGTGAATACACAGGCTATGTCTATTTTAATAACTCTAATTCTATGGACATATGTATGTACTGAAGGCGCCCACTAGGCCTTACCTATCGAATAAGTCTTAAGCTTAACCATTTAACAGGACTATTGAACAACAATGCTGCTAACCCATCACGCCATTTATTAGTGTTCACTGTCAAGATGATTCTAGTCAGAATATACCAAGATGATTTTATAGGTGAAGCAACACAAGCCAAAAAAACAATGCTCTGAACAAAAAGCCTTAAGTATTGTGGATTTTCTGTCAAGCGTGAACTTATTGCTGTTCTCAAAGCAAGTCCTGGATTACCTTTTCATTTTGGTGTTCAGTTTTCTCATCAGGAGATGTCTTTTCGTCTCTTTAAATAAGTGCACGGAGTCAAGTCATTTTTATTTAAACCCACCAACTCGTATTAACCACTGTCTGAGGATTATCATTAATATTTCTACCATCTGGAGTCATTTTAATGTGAACCTTATGGGTTAAATCACTTCTGATTTACGGACAGAAAGTGACACACAAAAGGTTAGGCTTAGCGCGCTTCAAATCTGCCCTACATAAACAGCTTTTGATTGTGACCCCCAGCATTTGGCTTAGCTGGAAGTATTAAACTTGTCCCTCCATTTCCTCCAGTGAAATAACAGAATGGTGATCTTTAGCACTGTTTTCGAAAAGGCTGCAGATGTGGTTGGATTGTGGGCCAAGCATGTTTGTGATACATTAGCCACACACATCACTCACAATGCTATCGGTGGCATCAAAAGAGGAACAGAAGAAAGGCGAAGGATGACACACAAGATCAATTGCGAGTTGGCTCAAAACTAATGTAAGCCTACAGGTTGTGGACCTTGCAGCATAAATACATTAAAAATCATCAGTTTCATAGAATAGCCCAGTCAAATGATAGAAAAAATAGAAAGTAAGAAAATAAAATGGCCACCGGGCAGTTTTGAATACAAGGCAAAGAAATGCAGTCAAGAAATATAAACACCATCAACTCTGTGATAGATATACATACATACATATAAACATACTTTACAGATCTACTGACACCTATTTTACAGACTGGTGGCTGGAGTTGGACAGTTGTGGGGAAGGTTCAGGGCATGTCATCCTCAATGATACAGTTCAGATGTAGCATAGGACTCAATAAAGCATTTCAGACTTCCAACAGGATCACAGGAGGAGCTTTGTCGAGTTTCAGGCAGCGACATGAAGCATGCCTACTTCTCTGACACGCCACCCACCCTTCCTTCCCCTTCCAAATTCATTGTTTTTAATCAATTTAATGAATAGGTGGAGTTTGAGGCTGTAGAGACAATAAAGTACTTGTTTCACCTCTTCAGTTCTCGCATTCCTTCTTTCCTCTTTCTCTCTGCCCTCTCTCCCTCTTTTCTCTCTTTTTCTCTCTTTAGGAAGTGGGAGCTAGAGATTGATTTTAATCCTGTGGGAGCGAGCTGTACCTGTGCCACAGAGTGTGCCATAGTGTGGTGGTTTCAGTGCCATCTCCTGAAATATAGAGAGACAGACAGATATAGGGAGATTGTAGTTACAATATCATTGAGCTCTGAGCAGCCTGAACTGTAAGCCGTCTCAGGCTACATTGAACACTGAATTAAAAAAAGTCTCTGAAAAGAGTGTAGAGGAGACACAACAGAAAGCATTCTTCAAGGTCCGGCTGGCAATCAAGTTGTTATCATGTCAGGTTTCCTTGAAGAATGCTACAGGTTTCACAAGTTTTTTGCATTTTCCTGTACTTATCAGAGCATGCAATCCAATTTTCACTCCCAATTTGTCTTTTTGTCTCCCACCACACTACCGCAGCACTCTTTATTACCCCTCAAACAAACATTTGGATCAATTTAGGCCCACTCTTTCATTGGGACCCTTGCCAGTGGGTCCTCTGATATGTACAGAATATGACAATGCCGTCTGTTCTCCTGACAGTTAGCGAAAAAGATCGGTGAGTGTTTGAAAGAGGGAGAATCTGACTGGACAATGCTGACATTAGGGGGACACAGTGACTGCTGATGCAATGGTTCAACAGAGATTAAAAAAAGAAAACAAGCAAACACCAACAAAATATAATGGTAACAAGATACAATCACCACAAGTTGCAAGGTCACAGAATCGAGTTGGATCTTAAAAAGCACTGAGCTCATTTTACAATAATGATGTCTGTTCTATTAAAATTCTTTGCCATCCGACCTTTGAAAGTACAAAGTCTCATACCTTCATCTATAGAAATGCATCATCACATGGGGAAATATAGTTCATGCTCTTAAGACCTCAGAAATGATAAAAACAAAATTGTGATACGCATGCAATTCCGAATGAGCCAAAACAGAAGCATTTTAATCTAAAGTGTATCTATAAGTCCAATGTTTGTGGTACTACACAACATTAACTAAATGTTTCCCTACATCATACCACTGGAGGTTAGATTTGTAAAACAGTAACCCTTCAACAAATGAATTAATTAACCTCTTTTTCTTTCCTCTGTATATGTACTGTGATGTCTGAAATCAGTCAAGAAGGGTGGTAGTTATTTGATCTGCCCCCTCTAAAGCACAGGCTTTAACAAGAGCTCCTCATCACTGGAGGCAGATTGACCTCTAATATCAAGCGGGCATGGGTTAAAAGAAGATGATGAGATGCATAAAAAAAGCTGTGAAGAGAAGGGAGGGGAAAGAGGTGGCTGGCATTTTCAGATACTGCTCTCGCTGTATAATGAAGCCATATGGTGGCACAAATCTGTTGTCTCTGAAGTATTTTTACAAGCTTTACTCTTTATCAGTTACATCTGTAAAGTCCCTGGAACCATTTTAGTGACCTTCAACCATAATTAACTCCACATGTTTTCCCTACCCATTGTATTTCCAAGGTTTTTCTTTCTTATTTTCATTCTCTTTAGGTGTGTGGAAGATCAATGGAAAGTTCACTCCAGCTCTGTCTGTCACTTTGATGAAGAAATAAGAAAACTTCTGGTCCTGCGTATGATCTCTGCTTTTGGAGTTCCGGCATTACGCTCCACAGTAGAGAGACAGCATAGCTGCCACTTAAAGAACAAATGCAGCTTCTGTTTTAAAAACCACACTTGAAATGAGCTCACCAAATTCTCACATATTCTTTTTACCTCATCTGATAAAAGCAAGAAGCACACCTTTTGAAGAAGTGCTGTTGTCAAGTGCTCTTCTTTAGACTGGGAGAAGAGAGTTTCCTTAAAGACTCAAAGATAAAATCAATGAAACTAGAAGCAAACAGGGCCGCTGATCATTGGCACCAAACCCCATTCCATCTTGAAAACACGACTCGCTCAAGGATAGTTTGTGGCATTCCTGATAATCTTAAAGGACGTCTACTTTTTCCTCTTTCTTATCAGACTCATTCGCAAACCAATTACAGTGATTTTAATCATACTGTATAACGAGTGATTAACCCTTTAGTGCATTTAATTAACCTTTGCAACCAGTGATTCTCGCTGGGCATAGCTTCATGCTATTTTTACTGTGACACAAGCTTTAAATAAGCACAGTTTAAACTGGTGGGAAATCTAATGTCTAAGGTGGGAGGAATCACTTGCCAGTTGCTTGAGGGGACACAGAAATTGGATGTTTTCAGTGTAACATCACTGACGATTGTATATGGTAAGTAGAACGGGAAAAAAAAAAAATATATATACATCTAAATTAAACCTTAAACTCTAAACGTGAAATCAGTCTTCGATAGATAGATGAGTTAAATATGCCTTCGGAAAAATGAGATATACAAATCGCCGCGAGATTTGGAAGACTGTTTACTCATCAACTATTCATAGGTTTTAAATTATCTGCACAAAAATACTCCACTCTGATCAGCAACATAAGTGAAAATCAATTTTAATCTGCGATGCATAACATTCACATGGGATAATAATTCGGAATTGTTTAACAGAAACTGAATATTTCTGCATATTTTCTGGCAGTGACTGTGTGAACGAGGGGAAAATTATTCTGACAACTCGTCACTGTGTCGGATAAACACATTATGAATTAAATCTTCAGTAGCAGGGGTATGTAGTAGGCTTATGTAAAATGTACCATGGCAGGGCATAGCTTTTAACTAGGGTTTCAAATAAAAGGTGGATGAAGGAAATTACTATCCTATGTGGGTGTCTTTATAAATTAGCTTAAGTACAATATTTTACAGGATCAACCGTCATTTGCAATAACTACAGTAAGATAATTTTTTTAAAGCTGTCTAGATGTTACACATAGGCACACTGTGAACAAGAAAAAAGAACTAAACCAGAAATCTACAGATGATGAGCAACACAAAGCGGTAGACACAGACTAAATCAGGCACCTCATGAAAGAGCCAACTAAACATCAGTTATTGACGCAATATCATGAAAGTGACCCAAAAATGGATGAGTGACATTTGTGATAATTGATTAAAAATTTAAACAAAAACGAGAACCAGTGAGACCAAGCAACAACCAAATCTCCAACAACCTTAAAAGAAGCAACAGAACAACACAAGACAAGAAAATGGTGGGAAAAGCCAACAAAATCGACTGGATGCTTGAGACTCAGAGGAATTTATGGCAACACGCTTGTCAGTGTGAATAAATTGCTAACCCATGCGCAGACTACTCAGCCTTATCTAATTCAATTGTGCAGGTGATGGGAGATCAAATATCAAAATGTACACTCTCCCTCATGTATAAGGGACAAAGCATTACCATTCTAAAATGTCTCACCCAGCACCAACAAAAAAACAACAGAGGCATAATTGAAAAGACTGTGTATTCATACAAATAAATAATAACAATAATTAAAGGTCATTAGTGTATAAAAATTATGGGTTTAATGCTGGTTTGACATAGAAGGCTTTTTTTCATGGACTACTGCTCCCTTAGTGCATAGGTAGATTGGTCTAAAGGCTCTGTGTCACCTTGATACTTGTGACCCCTCCCCTGCCCCAGGCAGTACTCAGTCTTCCCCACAGCACTGTGCTCAGGATGTCAGCATCAAGCAAGGCCACCTCTCCTTACATCTGATTTACATTTATTTCCCTCACCAGCTTTTATTTATTGGGGCACTTCGTATTTGGCACATATCTCTTAGGGAGTCATAAGCCCTTTGCTGTACCTCGGCATTCAAATTAGCTTTACTCCCACAAACCTCACTGGCACTTTTAAGACATTTAATATTTTAAGGACAGAAGCCACACGAGTGAGGTTATTTATCAAGTTGCTTTCGTGCACCAAGAGCAGATTCTGCCTCTTTTGTTCTATTACCTACACATTCTCTGGCTTAATGAATACCTGATGAGATGACTAGCCTTTGACATGCTTTACATGCTTTGTTAAACATTTCACTCAGATATACACAGCTTTATCTGCCCTTGACCTCAAATACATCAGCAGTGAGTTCAATCACTGTCACCTATCCCAGGCCCCTCTAAATAAATAACTGCCACCTAATATTCACAGTCATACTAGAAAAGGTAGATAGAAGGATGGCATATCATAATTTTGAAGGACTACCAAAATGGAATTATTTTTGGTGATGGAATTATGGCTGCCTATACAGTGAGGTGAATGTGAGAGATGGAAAACGTAGAGTGAAAAGTTTTGCAGTTGTGACAGTTGTATCTCATTGTATGGTTTCCTTTTTAAATACTTGCACTTTAGGTGTAAATGATATTCATGCAGACATGATCAGGGTTTGCACAAGAAAATTCCCCTGGCTTCATGCTCCCACTCACCCCCTTTCACATCAACTACCAGGGAACAGCAAGGGGAGTAAGAGTGGGGACTGGAGTGGGTGGGTTTAAAAAAGAAGTCATGAATTACCTGTCGGGTGGTGATTTGCCCTGCAGTCTTGAATCCCCCCTGACAGCTGCACTCTGAGACACTGTATGGGTCGGAGCTAGTCGATGAACACTTGGAGAGTGAGTCACAGCCAACCACAAATGTGTTGTCCAAGGGGAGCTCCTGGATCACATGGTGTTTCTTTGGGGCCACAGGAGTTTCTGGCTTGATTTGAAATGTAGGCTGAGGGGAAGCAGACTTGTAATGCTTGGCTAGATCTGGGCTGTCAGGTTTAAAGGTAGTAGGCGTGGTTGCCCAATTGTATTTCCCCATGGTTTGCTCCTCTAGCTCCACAGGAAGATCCAGAGTACCATTAACATGCTCATGCGTTGGGTCATCAGGCTTGGATTCATCTATGGTAACAAAGTTCAAGAGGAGGCTCTTGGGGGATCGCTTCTTTCTCTTCTTCTTCTTCTTGATCTGACGGTTTTCTTGGTTGGGTGACACCCACTCTCCACTCTGCTTACCCTTCTGCACCACTTTGTGTCTGGGTGTCTGTCGGCAGCGCACCAGGGCCGTAACAAATATCACCAAGATGACAGTCATAGTCCCTGCTATGATGGCTATGACAACAATCACATATCCATTAGCTTGAGGTGTTACCTCATTGTCCCCTATGTTACGATCCAAGGGTGTCTCCATGCTTTTACGCAGCTGCTCTTGAATAAAGGTAGCATTTGACACAGTGTCATTGACAAACAAGTGAACCAATGCGATAGCATGTAACGACTCAGGCTGGCCCAAATCTTTGACCTTGACTACCAGCCTATGCAGGCCATGATCGGCTGAGACTATTTTCTCCTGCAGCGTTATGTTACCAGTTGTTTTGTTGATGGTAAAAAGACCTCGAGGGGAAACCCTGGATGTGATGATGATGCTGCTGAGGATACTGTACTGCAGCTCAGCATTCATACCTGTGTCATTGTCAATGGCAAAGACTCTGGTGACCACAGCACCAGGGGCCGTGGTCGTTCGTACTAGATCATATGAATAATTGGAGGATGGCGTAACAAACACAGGACGATTGTCATTCACGTCAACTACGTTAATAGTGACCTTGGCATAGGAGGAGCTGGGAGGTTGCCCTCCATCAATTGCCTTGACCATAAATGTGTAGGAGCTTTGCTGCTCCCTGTCAAAGGTGATATTTGGTTTGATCACACCAGTTTGGGGGTCAATGATGAAATTGTCTTTCCCGTTTAAAATGGACAGAGTTATAACAGAATTATCTCCCGCATCTGCATCTGTCACCGTGATTAAGCCAACAGTTCCATAGAGAGGGAGGTTTTCAGGCACATAGAAGTTGTACTCAGGGTGCGTAAAAGCTGGGCTGTTGTCGTTAAGGTCCTGGACAATTAGCCTGACCGTAACATTGCTCTGCAGGGATGCAGAGCCATTGTCCCGCGCTGTGACAGTGAACGAGTACCTCTCCTGTTTCTCTCTGTCCAGTCGTTTACCAACAGAGAGAATTCCTGACCGTCTGTCAATGTTAAACCCATCAGGTGCATCAGGGCCAAGAGCATAAATAATCTCAGCATTGTGTCCACTATCTGCATCAGTGGCGCTGATTTTTATTAATTGTGTTGAGGGGTCATTGTTCTCAGGTATGGAAAGCTGAATTTCAGGCTGGGGGAATATAGGAGCATTGTCATTCTCATCCTTGATTTTAATTAGGACCATAGCAGAAGTGTTCAAGGGAGGGGTCCCCCTATCAGATGCCACTATCTTGATGGCATATTCTCGAGTTGTCTCATAATCTAGAGGAGCAGCTGTCTCTAGTAAGAACTGATCGTTAAAGACGGGTTTCAATCGAAAAGGAACATCGTGGTCAGTGTAGCAAGCCACTTTGCCATACAGATCTGCATCCTTGTCAGTAACAGTAATAAGGGCTATTTTGGTATTGAGGGGTGCATTCTCAGACAGCAGAACAGTCCCATTCACCAGGTTGATGATGTAGCGAGTGTCTATGGAGGGGACATTGTCATTAACATCTGTGACATTAACAATGACTGTCGCTCTGGATGGAGTTGAGCTGCCGTCACTTGCCAGGACAATAAGTTTATGAACAGGTGTTATCTCCCTGTCCAGTGGCTGCTTCACAGTGATGAGTCCAGTAGAGCTGTTTATGGCAAAGTGACGTTTGGTTGAGGAAGAGACCTGGTTACTGAAGGCGAAGTGGATCTGTGCGTTGGAACCCAAGTCTGCATCCGTCGCATGAAGTTGAGCAACCGATGTCCCCATTGGAGCATTCTCTGGAACCGACACCTCTAGCTCGCTGTCTTTAAAGATAGGACGGTTGTCATTGACATCAGAGATGGTAACTTGGAGAATGGCAGTGCTGGATTTGGGAGGACTGCCACCATCCTCCACCTTTATTTTCATGACAAAAGTATCCTTCTGCTCACGGTCAAGGTTCTGCTGGACAATGAGCTGTGGCCACTTGTCACCTTCAGGAGTCTCAATGATGTCTAAGCCAAACTCACTGACACTCTGCAAAGAGAAGACAATATCTTTGGTTACTTATGTCGACTTGTCTGCAGGAAAATGTCAATATGAATAAAACAATGAAATTCAATACTCAAATAAAACATGAAATGTCACTTATTTTCATCTCAATTGTCCCTAATAATGAATTCCTTTTTATGTTTCTTTTACTTTTATAACTTGAGGTTGTCAAATGGAATCTATACAATGAAGTACATGTTAATAGTAAACATTTATAATATAGGGAGTAACTGTAAATTGAGTGACACACATTTACATGCTTGTTTCTATAGTTGTTTAAAAAATAAATCTAGCTGGATTCAGTCTAAATCAATTAACGTCTGCCTAATTTCTTGCCCTTTCACTTTTTGATTGGTATCAATAACAGTTTTACTAAAATGGTCAGCTGCTGATTGGCACTGATCTGCATGTGCAAACATGCTAATCTTTGCGCTATTCCACATTTTGACAAAATTTCTTTGAGACCCTATAAAGCACGAAGAACAGGATTCTTTAAAAAAAGTTAATTAATCCTTTTAAAATATGACCAATCGCTGTGGTAAATCAAATCTCTCCATTGCTCCAAGAAACTACATCTCAAATGGATTCATTTAGCTTCCTCATCAGATTTCTTCTGGCTTCAGTGAAATGAGATTTCAGATTTTCTCGTATCAAGTTAGAATAGAGCAAGCAACCTTTTACCATTTCAGATTTATTATGGAAAAGAAAAGGAAAAATGAAGATGGAGTCACACCAATAAATTTTAATTGAAATACTCTGCAAAACCAGATAACTTAAGAGAGAGAGAGTGGAGAAACCCTACATGTTGGAATGGAACTTTGTTATATAACAGTTAATTCTAGACAAAAGTTAATCTAAAAAAAACAAATGTGAGAGTTATCCACATCCTCAGGAACTGCAACTAGTCAAGAGTAAATGCCTAAAAAAAGCTAGCACTAACGTTTACTTTAAATGGTGCATAGTATGGGTCCATATATTAGAGGAGAGGGCAAAGGAAGAGAGTAAGAGAGAGATGGAGAGAAGGGACGGAAAAGAGTAGAAAAGGAGAGAAGCGGGAGGAAATAAGAAGATCAAGCCTATGAATGAGCTGCATGCACATTATGAAACAAAGAAGCCCTTTGAAGCTTCTTTAGTCAGAAGCAGTTTCATGGTAAAACAAGAAAAAGCATCCTCTTTAAAGAGATAAGCTTCATGCTGCACGTAATGTTGGAAGAGATTACTCTGTCTAGGCACAGCTATCAAATGAGATTAAGATATGTACATTCTTGTCATTCAAGGGAAGACCATTTAAACCAAATTGCGAGCACAAGAGCATGCTGTACATTTAGAAATGTAGAGCTGTTCTTGTGCCAACACAGCGTTGTAGGTATACAAGGAAACGTGCAGCTGCAGCATGTAAATTATTGTGTACTCTGAAAAATTGCTTGCAGAGGAAATGTTGTCAAAACATCAGTGATTGACAGAACTACTTAAAACAGCCAACACTGGAGCAATGATCTTTCAGACCTCATTTTGTGATCCCTCTGGCGAGCTAAAGTCATACAAGGATAAGCAGACATGCCAAATAAAATGTAGGATCGGTCACATGGCTAAACTCAACTAAATCTCGACATGCAGTGCAAAAAAATGTATCTCTCATAAGTGTAGGGTCCAAGACAACCTTGGACTGTGTTATCATTTCCATTCATCCAGAGCTCCCAAATCCTCAGTTTTTGGATGCCTTTATAGATTTGGTAAAGTAGCTCAGAATCTGAGTGCTGATATTCGACAAAGACCGTTGATAATAGTAAGATGTTGAGTTAACATGAGTCAAAGGGAGTGCTGCACAATGATTTATGAGCGAGCAGTTGCTCAATGCTTTTGTCTTGGTTTCAGACAATTTTACAACTGAGAAGGCATCTCACTGCATTTCAATAAGTTGAAGAGAGGCTTCTCTCCGGCTGTGCATTTTCCTGAATGCTGAATTAGTCTGGTGGATTGTGATAAGATCTAGGGCAGGCTAAGAAAAGGCCAAGTACTAGCATGAATCACTCACCAGAAACCTTAGGGCTGAACAAGAAGGACAACGCTCTCTAAACGACCAAGTGCGCTCATTATACTTGATCTCATTTTTAACTGCATATATACCGTATGGAGGTTTGCCTTCTTGACCTTTGATTAGATTTTCTTTTCAGGGCACAGGTCTCAGTGAAAACTGTAAACGTGGGGCATGTGAAATCTAATGAGAGTTGTCTAATTGAAATGAAAATGACTGAGGGACACTGACAGAAGTCAGACGGAGGAGGCTGATGATGAGGAAAGGATGACACTGAGCCCCATTTTTCAGATGGTGCCTGAGATTGTTGCTGGCTGCATCTTTCACTCAAGTCGATGGCCTTATTAAACCGTGAATACGTCATGAAGACGTGTCAAGGTGATGCCCATGGATGGGGGTAAATTGTTATTCATATAAATTATCCATCACAACGCACAGTACCTCTCTATATTGCAAAAAGAAACTCGCTTTTTCATCTGTCATAAGCTTTCACTGCTCATGGTACCATGCATACAATTAAGATACAAGAACATGGGAATAGTTTGTTTCCTTAAGTCAGCCGTAATAACAGAATAATGTGTAAGCATATGATGCAAATAAAAATAAAGACATGTTTAACAGTGATTTTCTGCCTTTAGGCGGCAGGCTATGAATTAGCTCAGGTTTGCTTACTATTTGAATGCATTTATCGTCCTGTAATTATTTGAGCAATTAAAAATAACAATTCAGTTATTGTCGCATATGGAATGCCAGCAAAGAAGTCTGAATTTTTGGCAGAAGGTTATGGTTAGGAGTAGATGTTCTCATCTTATTAATAGGGGAAGCTTAGCCCAGCCAATGACAGAATGCAGAATTTAAAAACCCTGATTTATGCAATATGATCACTTTTAGTTTGGTGAAAAACACTGACAAACAATTCACAAAAATAATACATTACTGGTATACAGAATAGACACAATGTTTGTAAAAAGTCTAAATCCTATGCTTAGCCAACGGTAGCATCTTATTTTCTCCTATTTATGAAACAGGCTCCTACCAGCCACATGTGTGGTTGCTTTCTCTGACAACTCTGAGCAATTAAAGTGACGTAACACATTGCTGCATGGATAGCAGAGTTCCTCTGAAAGAGTAATCACCAATCATTACGGGTGGCCCACTGTGCAGGACAAATCACCCTTTGTCCATCTTGGCAGTGAAAAGGTGAACAAAAAGAAGCCCCAGTGTTTCTTTTTTTATTTCTGTATGTTGTCAACACAAAAAAGCTACACATGGAATGACACACCACTAAATATGACTGACTGTGCTTCACAATGGTAGCAATTTTAGAACTATCCCTTGAACAACACAAACACACACACACACACACACAAAAGAAACTGGACAAACTATCGGTCTGAAGGAGCTTCTGAGACTAATCCCAGAGGACCATGTGCAGATAGACCATGGGTGGTTTAACGGCCAAGAGCTATTCTAGGAAATGCTTGTACAGTGCTTTGCTATACTAAATCCCTGAAATTCTACTGCATTTGTGAAAACAAAACCAAAAGCCAAAATTGTGTCTAGCTCCTTTAAGGCTTTCCCCAACGCTTTACTCATATAGAACCTGTGAAATGAGGGAATTAATCTTTGAAACAATATAAGGAGAAAAACTGAATCGTTGACACAAAACTATGTATACAATTGAGGCAAAAAGGCTTTATAGAGTTATACAAATTTGCGAAAAAGGCAAATAAAATGGTTGCAGATTATCATTCTAATGAGCTGAACATTTGGTTGCTGATTTTCCAGGCATGAACTATTCAGAAGATTGCACTGGAGTGGTCCTGGCAGTGGGGAGAGTCTTTAAAAATGCAAAGTGGTAGGCAATACAGACACGGACACCAAATGCCCCTGTTAATTTAATCACAGCGTTGAGTTAATGTGAGAATACAAGGTGGACCTTTCAAATGTGTATCTCACCATGGTCTCAGAAATAGCAGCCTTTCTGCGTTTATGTTTAGAGTTTCCTTAAGAGTGCTCGCATCTTCTTAATAACACTTCATTTGAGTGAGCTTGTCTGAGCTGCATTGCACAAAGCATGAAATGTAGTCTAGACTGTAACTTAAGAATTAATCATGTTTTCTTACAATTCTGAATTTAAGGCTAACTCCATTAGGTAACAAAAAATATTGCACTGCAGTGTGAAAGAGCATCAATTAGATGATGAAAAAGCCTTTCCTAGTCTTGCAGGAGGCATCTATTAGCATAATACAATTCATCCCTTTGCACTTGCTTTAATCTACTACAGTATGTTCAGTGCATGTAACCTGTAGCTGTAAATTGGACACAGAGTATGTGCTGAGCTTGTATTCTCCACAGCAGCACTAGACACAGTGAAAACTCACTTAGAAAAAAAAGCCTCTCACAATATAATGAAGTGAATGGAAATCTAAAAGTCTGATATGAAATGCATTTGACTTTGCAACATATTCCATTCCATGAAAAAGTAGGTCATATCTTCAATGGCTGGCCTACATTAATTTCCTTTATTGATAGAGCAGCAATACAAAAACAAAAAATGTTATAGCACGTTATTAAACCAAGCTAATGCAGAGTGTGAATTATAGCTCACGAAATACTCTAAACTGGAAAAGAAAAACAATTTAAGCGCACATTAATTAATAACACTAAATTAATCAAACTTTATGCTGGCATACTGCAGGCAAAGCAATGTGTTCGAGCTTAATCAATAACCGGTGCTGGGCTATTCAACTTGTACCGGAGACAGTTGTCTATTCATTTTTTTGAAAAAGACAATTCATTTTATACTTTGCTCTCTTTTTTTCTTTGTTACTGTTTCAATAAAACATAATGGCTTTTGTCCATCCAATGTATGACTATGGGACTGTTCTCTGCTTTTATCCCCAAAAGCCATTTAAAGCTATTTATTCTAATAAATCCTTAAAGCAGGCCAATAACTGGAACACAGTTTTCCAGTAGACTTTTATCCCTCACTACCAATTTATGTAACCTATTCAGTATCATTACATTTGGACCAAACGGCTCTCAGTACAGTCATAAACATAACAGAAATTTAAAATGACTTTTTATCAATTTCAGTTTTTTCATTAATTATCTATAACAGATCAGCCAGTAAAATGAGATTAAACATGGAGTGAGACAGCACTCCTAAAATTGTCAATCCGAGAAGGCAAATGAGACAAATCAATAGTTACTTTCTAGACTGAATAAGATGAACTGAGATATCATGTGCGTCAGGGGCAATTTAAAGTAATCTATAGGATTTACGTTTGGCAGAGTCAGGTGTTTTCAAGAAACTGACTTAGTAAACGCCATCTTCAATTTGAAGGACAGGAATCTATCAAAACCTGATCGTGACAATAAGTTGGTGAATGTGCACCATGTTACCATCAAAGAATCCTGAGGACGTCATGAAAATAATCATTAGTCTTTATTGATGTGTCACCCTCACTGTAGCAACAAGACACGTGATAACAGTCTCCAGTAAGAACTTTGCTGTTTCTCTGCAGTTTACAATGTGCCAACAGACATCACCGAAAAAGGCACAGGGATTTTATTTTTATTTTTTTGTAGGTGTAAGTGGCATGGCTTATGGAAGAAAAACACTGCATTACAGCTAAATAACCTTTGTTTCTATCTTAGAAACATCGTGGGATAATCATTTGGTTATATTTATATTTTTCTGGGTCAGCACAGTTTTTGGTCGTTAATAGAATATCGAATTCAAAATTATGTGACCAAAATATTGCACATTTCAAGAAAAAAGTGTACAAAATAAGAACCACAACCCAAAGCAGGCAGGCTGATTTCCCAGAGGGAGGACTGAAGAGGTATAATGTAATTTTGGAAGAGCTCAGTCAAAGCACAGAACTTGATTTCGATGTGGTGGGCCCCAAAGCAAACAGATCATGAAATAAAACCCACCAACATCCCAGAGATGGAGCTATTTCATGTGACAACCAAACATCCTCCAAGGTGAAAAATCAGAATTCATTGCAATAATATTGTTAAACTGGGAAGTCCACATGGATGTACCATGAATATTGGATGTTTAAGTAACAAAGAGTGATGCTTTTGTAAATTTTTTGATACAAATATGTTCACGCAACATCAGAGAACTGACACGTGCTCAGTCACTGTTTAAGTAGTAACTGTTTAAATCCTGGTGTTTCAAAATCAGTCTGGACTCACCAAATTTCAGAAAGAGTTTTAAATAGCCCAACAAAGAATCTGTTTGCTGCCTAAACTTGGTAGCCATGTGTTGGTATTACAATTTAGTTTAAACATTTCAGCTCCCCTAATTAGAAATATGTGGATCGCCCAACATGAGGTCAGCTGTGTTGATATAAGAACGGATTATTTTTAACTGACAACACAGTTAACACAACGGCAATGCCACTGCTGCTTCGAGGAGAGAAAATCAGTTAAAGGTTTCACAAATCAGTTATCTGCCTTCTGTTGTCTTTCACATATAAGAGATAGAACAGAACAAAATGTTACCTTGACGAGTTCGTAATGCTGGATCCCATTGATTCCCACATCAGGGTCAAACGCTGATGGCACCGGGTATCGGGTGTTGATGGCTGTGTTCTCTGGGATGGAGATGTTTATAACAGTGGACTGGAAAAGAGGTGCGTTGTCATTCACATCTTCAATCAGGAAACGGATCTTGACCAATCTGAAGATCTCATCGGGCAGCACTGCCACCTCGATCTCGTAATAGCAGCGTTTCTCAGTGAAGACTCCCGAGCACAGCTTCTCCCGGTCGATTCTGTGATTGGTTGTGAAGATCTCCCCTGTGTTGGCCTCAACTCTCACCAAAGGCACGTCGCCTGTCTTATAGACAGGCTTGAACTGCAGCGGGGAGGATAGCCTGATGTTCGGGTCGAGGTTAAGGTCCAAGTCCCTTCGCAGATTCCCAATGCGGACATTCTCCGGCTGCTCCTCCTTCACTATGTAGTCCCTCTCCTGGGCCTTGCATATTAAGACCACACAGGTGAGCAGGACCACCAGTGCATGCAACTGACTTGCTAAGTCCATACTCAAGATTAGATGGGGGCTTCACTTCTACTGCGGCAATTCTGTGAGAAGAAAGAGACGATCCAGAAAGGAGAGAGGGGAAAGACAGAACACACAATGTCAGTGTAGAAAATAAGCCAGCATTCACGTTCTGCTGTAATTTGTACTTTTCTCCCACATGGAGAGTTTTGAACTTGACCTTTTCATGGTAACTTGATAAAAGCCAAAATCCTTCCCATGTCTTTGAAAGAAAAATGAACAGTTTTGCACAATTAACCTTTGACGACATCCACAAAACAAGAACGCACACACAAAGGTCAGCAGGTCATGCTTTTCTTTAGGCCCATTTAATTTTTTAACGAAGCCTTTTTGTTTTTTATTTAGAAGCACTTTAGAAGAACGATTGCTGGCGAGTTCACTGTTGCGCTGATTATTCAGGAGCTACTTTGGATAAAATAAAGACAAAAAGCAAAAGTGCCACAGATCCTGAGTTAGTCTGAGTGAAAGCAGTGCAGAGGTCTTACTAACCTTATATCCAGATATCAGCTAATTTGAAGGAAGCAAAGCTGATCCCTAACTGCTGCTGCTTTCATGCCAGCGCACACACTCGCAGTTGTGCTGCTTGACAGCAGCTATTAATGGAGAGCCTCATTTGCTCTGTTTTCTCCGAATGTAAACAATTGAGCTCTCAAATATTTCATGAACACCCATGTGAATAAACTAGCGCAGTATGATAAGAGCACTGTTGAGAGTGGCAGCAGTGGGGGGGGGGTGAGAAAACAGTCTGAGACTCTTTATTGTGTGAGCGAAATTGGGGACATTTGATATTAACTTCACTGGATCATGACAGCAGCTTTTCACTCGCACATCAAATTTAAATGTTTTTCCAGTTGGTTGTTTGTGTAAAAATCTAAAAGTTCGAGATTAGTTTTTCTATTACTGATCATTATTCATTTGTATGTGTTCTTGTTGGGAATTCCAATTCAAACTGTTCTAGAAAATGTTTGACTGTTTTGTATTTGTAAAGGCTTGCCAACGGGAGATGTACAAACGCGGCCATATGAACACAATGAAGGTGTCGTGCTCTGCAACGACCCCCCTGTTAGGGAGAGAGAAAAAAAAACTTTGACTGCTTTACCCCCTTTAATTAGTAAGTTGTTGGAGAGTTAGTTACTTTGTGTGGTTTTCTAGTTGACATTTTGACTTATTAATTCATTTAAGCCATTATCAGGCTTGTTTCACAAATGTATTCATTCATTTCCACCACAATCACCCAGGTCAAACAGGTTTAGCCACACAAGCATTAATGAGCTTTTGCAGCTAAACGAATATAATTACAATTACATGTGCATTAGCACATTTGTATTCAGTGACACAGTAAATCAGGAGTCAAATATCGATGGGGAGTTTTTAATCATAACTGGAAAAAGCCGCCAATGCACAGGTGCAGCTTTTGTATTTGGCTGTCTGTCTGAATTTCAGCACAATCTACTTCACAGGCTGATTTCTTCACTCATTTTCCACTGTGTTTTCAAGTCCAAAAATCCCCCTTCAGTGATTAGTAACTGCATAAGACCTTCCTAAAGATGTTGTTTTGTATTCATAAGGCAACTGCCATCAAAGAGCGGTAAAGTGTGTGTTGACAGCCTTTGTGCAAACGATTTACAGACGGTGTTTTAACATGCATGCATATCTGCAGAAACAAGGGATCACAAAGTACTCTTTGGGAATCATAATATTTCCTACTTTATGAAATTTCCATCCATTTACATAAGTCAAACAGTACCCTAAAAAGGTATGACTACCTAAACTGCACTACAGGGGTCTTCCAAATTGGCAAAGCAACAGCGTTCATAGCCCTTGAAGTACTCAGCTGGCTGACAATGGGGATTTGATTAAAAGTAAAAATTTCATTAGGTTAGTTTTCATTCTGAAACAATTGCGTGGTATTCATGAAACATGCAAAGACAGATTTTGCACGTCTCCTAAAGCAGTCACTTGAGACTCATTACAAAACAAAAAACAAGCTCGGCCTGGTCAGTTTGGTTTGTTTTATTTTTTGTTCATTCCACAAATTCAGCATGGCAGGTTTTGAGCTGTCACGTCACAATATTGATGAAGCGTGTCCTATTAGTAACGGTGACACATTTTACTTAGAAGTGTGCATCTTTTGGAGAATGAGCAGCAATTGGTCTAAAGCTCTGATCACCAGGCAGTCTGAGGCCGAGCTCACACAACGCATAATGAAGTTTAAATTACATCCTTAAATGGGATGTGATTTGCTGAAGTGAAAAAACGAAAAAAGATCAAAGGATGATCGACATTTCCTCTCCCTTGTAAGTGACAATAACGTTCTGCAGGATGAAGGCGAGTAGCAGTTTTTTCTTCACATGCAGGCGTTCGTATTTTGTGAAAAAGGCAACATAGCAGTTATAATGTGATATTAATGGACTGCTCTGAACTATTGTTAGATATGCAAAGACATGTGCTTCTTTTTTTTTTCCTATTTATCTAAGAAAGTAAATCTTTCACTGGGGGGAAGTACGTCTTGCTCTTCTAAAATATTGCGGTCAAAACACTTTCATTCCCAGAAATGTATTTTTTCAATGAAGGATATTGACACTTTGCTGTGATTTCCCAACAATTCCTCATCTTTTCACTTGTCACAGTTCTATTCAAATATGTTCATGAGGGATATGCTATGTAAGAGGAAGGCATTGTGCTGCAGAGGAAAATAAAAAGTAACGGGGAGGATTCTAGCTGTCACTCAGAGTGTCTCCTTTGCTTACATTTCACTAGTCTCCTGAAATGCTATTTTGAGCCCCAAACAGCAGGTTGAATCCAGCAAGCAAACTCAAACCTCCCTCTCGGGAGACGTGATGAGTAGCCGGCCGTCCTTAGATCATTTGCTACGACAGCGTGATGGACGGGTCTTCCTGGTGTTCGCATCTGCCGAAGGAGGCAACGAGAGCCATACGGCTTCCCTCTGCCATACGCCTAAAGATGGTCAAACTGGAAACTTTGGTTTCTGTGAAGTTGGATCTCAAAAAGCTACTTTTTTTTTTTTTTTTTTTTTTAACCATTGTATCTAATTATGTTCTGTGTGGATGCATGGAATTTTCCAACATCAGGGCAGAAGTCGATGCAATTATTTCCGCGTCTTGTCTCACCTCTAAGGTTCATGGATGTCTGACAAACAGAGTTTATGTCATGATCAGACTATTCTTTTTCAGGTCACAAAGCGAAAAGAGTTCTCACCGATGGGGGAGGAGCAAAAGTTGATTTCTCTTCTGCAAAGTATAATATTTGTGGTCATTCTGATATTGCTTGTGATAAAGTGTGGGGGGGATGCTAACTTAATGATGCTCAAACTAAATCTTATCCTTGCGGTGTGGCCCTTTTTAAAACTTTAACTATGCTGTTTTGCTCACGCTTAAGTTGGTTTCATCCTTCTTAGACAGACTAGAGATGGACTACGTGAGTAATTAAATGGCTGCTGTGCAATATTTTTTACGCATGTCCATTAGCAAAATGACAAGCTAATCTTCAATGTGGTAATCACGAACCTCAAGAGGGCAGTCCACACCCGTTAATGCAAGCCAAAAGCTACACGTACATGCCGTCAAAGCGTCATATCGTTTTTGACGTGGATTTTTAGATCAATTGTTCGTAATGAAAATGCGAGCAAATTTTAAATTACGAAAGTATTTGTCATTGGAAAAAAGAAGTAGAAATATTTTTGTAATCCAACAGTTGGCTAACCTAAAGCAAAATGTGTCTTTCGGTGACCTTGGAAAAAATTCAATCTCTTACGAGTATTTCCTCCTTATTAACACTGTGTAAACTGTGCTGCCACTTGTGGACATTATAGAATCTACAATCAATTAAATCATGTGTCGCTTAACTCAATATCTTGTCGTTTGATGGGAAATTGTAAGGGCTCAATGGATAAAGGATATGGTGACTATCAGAAATGTATTTAGGACATTATAACTGGTCAAATTATGTATTGACTCCTCACTGAGTTTTTAGTGACTGAAAAGGACTGCAGTGAAAAGACAACATACTCGGCACGATAAATACATTTTTAAAATTACAGCAAAGCAGACAGATAACATCTTTAATACTTGGAAAGAATCTCTAAGCCCACTTTTTTTTTTCTTGCACAAATTGAAAATAAGTTTTCCCTGGATATCAATGACCTCCAAACTCATAGTTGAAGTGATTACAGGCGCACTCTAGTTTGGATATATGCTCGATACAACATTTCTGAAAGTCATTGCTCTGTACCTGTTGGGTTTATTTAAAATGTGGACGAGGTGAATAGGAAAATGGCTTTTTTGCTTTTGACAAAGCCAGCAAAATCCAGCTTCTACAGGTAGCTTTGTAATATTCGGTGCTATGGGAAGTTCACCCTCTTGTTTAATT